CTAAATCCAATTCTCCTCCTCAAGTAGCTCAATCATTAGTCTAATCCAGGCAGTAAATCCTTCTATTTCTTTTAGTTCGTTCATTCTTGTCACCTGTTGAAGTGCAGTTGATGTTTGTCTTTGTAGCAATGTGCCCTCATCCCACCATCTGATCCCTGCGCAGAGTCCCACTGCAGTCAGAGGCACGGGAGCCCACTCACATAGATCAGATTGCCATACAAGGAGTGAAGGAGGGCATATTGTCTGCAGTTACAAAGATTCTAAAGTACCACCTCTTCAATTTCAGCAAAGTAGGACATTTCCCTAACAGCAGTGATTACATGTTCACCGGCCTACCTGATGTAATGGGAATAGATGGCACAGCATTACAATAGCTTCAATTATGCCCCTCCAGCACAGCTCAGAGTGGTGATGGGTAACTATTCCTCTTCCTCAAGGGCCCTCCCCCTGGGACTCCACAATTCCCCTTTCTACATGAGACCACTTGGAGAGATGGCCATGGAGCCCTAACAATATGCCAATAACGCTCCACTGTCATTTTCTACTGACACGAACAATACCACACTACCAAGAGGTCAAAATGCCTGAGATCAGCTCCTGGGATAAAGGGCAGCTGCCTCAAACTCAGCCTGGGCAAGACCAAAGTGTTTCTACTTGGAATGCTGAAATACCCAGAAGAACCATCCAAGGCCTTGTCTCTAACCCACCCAATGGTCAAAGTAGCACAAAGCCTTGGGGTTCCATTTGACTTATCGATGTGTGGATATGACCAGATAGCATCAGAGACAAACGAAGCCTTCTTCCACTTCCAGTTCACAAGGACACTCCACCCTCTCTCTCTCGGACAAGGACCTGGCCACAATGATCCATCCATTTGTCGCCTATAAATGCCATCACTGTATATGATGTTGAACAGGGAAACAATGCACAGGCCAAATTCAGCTGCCTGCGTCCTCCACAGTTTAATGTGCTCATAGCACCTAAACATGTGCGCCAGTCCCGCCACTGACTCTGTCAAGGCTGATTCCCCACTCTGGCACTTCGAGTGCAGAAGGTGGGGGCCTGCAAGGATTCTAAAAATTAATACTGGCCACTCCAGGCTGGTATTAACCTCCCAAGGTTACAGCTTTTCTCTGTCCTTGGATGTGTAGATGCTGCCACCACCCAATGCAAAAACCCCTTTGAGAGACCAGGAAGGTGCACTTGGGAATTCCTTCCTGTGGGGTACCCTCAAGCCCTTTCACCCCTGGGTGAAGAGCTGAGAAAGAAAACAAAGGAAAACAGCTGTTGCCACCAGCTAATTAAATATGTGCACAAACTTGTTAGGACAAAATCCAATCCTGTTCTTAAAAAAGGTAAATTTTATTAAAAACAAACAAAAAATACATTTAAAAACTCAGGTTATTGCTAAATTTAAAAAACCCTCTTATAAAAATTAAACATCAAGAATAACCTTCTTGAAGTCCATCTTAAAGATTACAAGCAAAACAAAAGCATTTGGGGTTAGCACAGAGGAGTCCACAAGTCATAAAGAAATAAACAAAGATAAACCTAATAGCGTCTTCATTGACGGTTCCCCCATCTACTTACGTATTGGGGGTTTTAAGTGAGTAGTTTCTAGGTATGATTTGATGATTTTTCATACCTGACCCAAGCTTTTACAGCATAGCTACTCTGTCCCTTCTCTCCTGGAGAACCACCACAGACTGACAACGGGGAAGTTTTTTCCCCCAATTTTAAAAAAAGTTCGAGCCTTTCCATTGGCTCTTTTGGCCAGGTGACTGCTTAGAGTCATAGACTTTAAGGTCAGAAGGGACCATTATGATTGTCTAGTCTGACCTCCTGCACAACGCAGGCCACAGAATCTCACCCACCCACTCCTGTATCAAACCCCTAACCTATGTCTGAGCTACTGAAGTCCTCGAATCATGGTTTAAAGATTTCAAGGTGCAGAGAATCCTCCAGCAAGTGACCCATGCCCCACGTTGCAGAGGAAGGCAAAAAAAACCCAGGGCCTCTGCCAATCTGCCCTAAAGGAAAATTCCTTCCTGACCCCAAAGATGGCGATCAGCTAAACCCTGAGCATGTGGGCAAGACTCACCAGCCAGACACCCAGGAAAGAATTCTCTGTAGTAACTCAGATCCCACCCCATCTAACATCCCATCACAGGCCATTGGGCATATTTACCGCTAATAGTCAAAGATCAAGTAATTGCCAAAATTAGGCTATCCCATCATACCATCCCCTCCATAAACTTATCAAGTTTAGTCTTGAAGCCAGATATGGCTTTTGCCCCCACTGCTCCCCTTGGAAGGCTGTCCCAGAACTTCACCCCCTGATGGTTAGAAACCTTCGCCTAATTTCAAGTCTAAACTTCCTGATGACCAGTTTATATCCATTTGTTCTTGTGTCCACATTAGTACTGAACTTAAATAATTCCTCTCCCTCCCTGGTATTTATCCCTCTGATATATTTATAGAGAGCAATCATATCTCCCCTCAGCCTTCTTTTGGTTAGGCTAAACAAGCCACGCTCTTTGAGTCTCCTTTCACAACACAGGTTTTCCATTCCTCCGATCATCGTAGTAACCCTTCTCTGTACCTGTTCCAGTTTAAATTCATCCTTCTTAAACATGGGAGACCAGAACTGCACACAGTATTCCAGATGAGGTGTCACCAGTACCTTATATAACAGTACTAACACTTCCTTATCTCTACTGGAAATACCTCGCCTGATGCTTCCCAAGACCACATTAGTTTTTTTCACAGCCATATCACATTGGCGGCTCACAGTCATCCTGTGATCAGCCAATATGTCGAGGTCCTTTTCCTCCTCTGTTACTTCCAACTGGTGAGTCCCCAGTTTATAACAATAATTCTTGTTATTAATCTCTAAATGCATGACCTTGCACTTTTCACTATTAAATTTCATCCTATTACTATTAGGAAAGTTTACAAGGTCATCCAGATCTTCCTGTATGATATCCTGGTCCTCTGTACTGGCAATACCTCCCAGCTTTGTGTCATCTGCAAACTTTATTAGCACATTCCCACATTTTGTGCCAAGGTCAGTAATAAAAAGATTAAATAAGATTGGTTCCAAAACCGATCCCTGAGGAACTCCACTAGTAACCTCCCTCCAGCCTGACAGTTCACCTTTCAGTATGATCGGTTGTAGTCTCCCCTTTAACCAGTGTCTTATCCAGCTTTCAGTTTTCATACTGATCCCCATCTTCTCCAATTTAACTAATAATTCCCCATGTGAAACCATATCAAATGCCTTACTGAAATCGAGGTAAATTAGATCCACTGCGTTTCCTTTGTCTAAAAAAATCTGTTACCTTCTCAAAGAAGGAGATCAGGTTGGTTTGGCACAATCTACCTTTGCAAAACCATGTTGTATTTTGTCCCAATTACCATTGACCTCAATGTCCTTAACTACTTTCTCCTTCAAAAATTTTTCCAAGACCTTGCATACTACAGATGTCAAACTAACAGGCCTGTAGTTACCTGGATCACTTCCCACTCCCCACCCCCTTCTTAAAAATAGGAACTACGTTATCAATTCTCTAGTCATACGGTACAACCCCTAAGTTTACAGATTCATTAAAAATTCTTGCTAATGGGCTTGCAATTTCATGTGCCAGGTCCACTCCCTTCTTTTTACCCATGCAGGGAAACTTTTTAACCCTTTACAGGTAAAGCAAGTAGAGAACAACTACTAAGAGGGATTTTATAATTAACTGGCTGGTTGGGTGTCCATAAAAGGGAGCTACTCCCCTCCCCGCCCCCTTTCATTTATCACAGACTCCCAAACTGCTTCTGCTGCCAGTTCAAAGCCTTGGCCCTGATCTTAAAAGCCACAAACAGATTAGATCCCAATTACATTAGAGACCACATTTCCATCGAAGAAGTGCCTATGTGTGTTTTTAGGAGAGATCAATTATCCTGTGATTTTTCTTACATTGCCCTTCATGGTGGGTAAATCTAGTTTCAACAATCTTCAGCTTTTATGAGGGTGTCAAATACTTATATTGGCTCTTGCAATTGTACAAAATATTTTAGCTTAGTTTAGTCAAACTTCTTGGTTTAATCCTGTTTATACAGGTTTTTCCCCTACTACTACTTCTGTGAAGTTAGCTTTAACAGCTGGGATATTACAAATGGTGTTCAATTTTTAAAATCTCTTGGAAGTAGTGGTTATTTTACAATATTTGCCTACATTTTCAGCTTACTGGAAATCCATGGATTCTTTTCTGTGATTTATTTCCAATTTGGTTGACTAATAAATGGTGTCTCTTTTAGCAGGATTGTGCATTGTCTTTTTCCTATATGTAGTCATTTAATCTCATCATCTTTGATCCAACCTAATGAACTTAAAAGGTGTTTCACATTTGTCAAGGCTAGATCTTAAATTTTTTTCCCTCAGAAGCTATAAGATTTAGGCCACGATCCTACAGTAAAAAGCAACAAAAGAGTCCTGTGGCACCTTATACACTAACAGACTTATTGGAGCATAAGCTTTCGTGGGTGAATACCCACTTTGTCAGACATGTCAGTGAGCATCCTACAGTGAGCAGCATGTGGGTGTAGGAATCCACTTGTGTGGAACTCATTGCACACATGACCTCTTATGTGGTACTCTTGGTTTCCATATCAAGTTTGAGATGCATGTACGCACTCTTCCATGGGAGTGCTCATGCAATTAAAGCTTTGCATAAGATCGAGCTCAACTTCACAAATAGGTAAATGGATCTTTGTGTAAGTGGAGGTAGCTCCCTGGTTGAACGCAAGAGCGTATCAACAGCACAAACAATTCCGTACAGCACTTCAGAACAGAAAATGAAATACAGGTTATACAAACAAACAGACCATGGTAGTCAATATATTCCATTATGTCTCCTCTTTAATGAAAGCACTTCTGTTAAATTTAACTTTTGTCTGCCCTCAACTAGTTGGTAACCTGGGGGATGGGGAGGAAGAGGAAAATTCATTTTTACCTCAGTCACGATGGATGATCCTGAAGAATCGTAAACCCAGCCATCTTGACAGGGGGTAAGAGGGATACTGCTCCTGTTGCCATAACCGGTGAAGTTTTCTAAGGGATTTATGCAGCTGAGGCCAGTTGTGTTCCAGTCCACGTCGTATCTCCTGCATTGACTAGAGAAAGACTCCCCGTGTCTCCCCTGCTCTGGAACGGTGTAATTCAGCTCCTCTTCTAGACTCCAGCCACATCGGCTGCTCAACTCAGCAACTCCAGGACTGAGACAGTGGTGTTCAGGAGTGAACCCCAGGAAGATGACACCCACGTAAATAGGGGTGAAGGCAGCAGACACGAAGCATAAGACAAAAAAGACTTGTTTCTGGAACAAGTCAAATTCCCCAATATGCTCTAGAATGTCATCCAAGGTTGGCATTTTTGCGTATTGCAATTCACTTATAGTAACTAACCTGGTTTCTCTTCCCAACACTGCTATGTACTTTGTTGGCAGCAAAGCTGCTTAAGTAGCAATAAAACATTTGACCAAAAGTCAAAGCTACTTTATAAATTATTAAGCTGTGTATTGCTAGCTTTATTTTTTAAGTTAAATTTGAAATCAAGCCTAGACTCACCCGTGAACCATGGGGAATTGCTATTTGACCCCCACCAATTCCCCTAGAATAGATTCTTCTTGGGGTGGGCAAGAAGTGGGGTAAAGGGGCAAGTTGTTTGCTCACAAAAAATTAACAGGGCTAATAAAAAGGTCATTTATTTTTCATTAATTACTCAAATCCTTACTAAGGTACTTTGAAAGGTTTCCTTCCCTAGCTTGTGCCTTATTACCTTGATTTAGGTAGGGTACTCAACAATATTTCTAACTAAATACATTTATTAGCATGGGTGAGAGAATGAAAAATTTAGGGTTGCCATTGCTAGGCAGCAGACTCTTGAACAGTGCCTGTCCTGAACAGGCTTTGCAGGGGATAGTTAAAATATGGTTCAATAGAGAAATGCTTTCAAGGAAAAAACAGCTCCCACCTTTGAAGCGGAGCTTTGTAGTGGGGTAGAAATATATGCTGTAAAAAGGTGTGTAGACGGATGCCTGTTCGTGCATTTACCCTCATCCGGGGTTTCCCCATTCTTCTCTCACCACTTCCTCACTGGATGGGTGCAGGGGGATTGCTGTCGCAGGTGAGGATTTAGAAGACAGGTATTTGCCTTTGGACTTGTCCTCCAGCACCTGCTCAGGGTGGATCTGGATTGTGGATACAATTTTGCACAAGGCTTTAAAGATTTCAGGAAAAACCTTTGTAGCATTCCCCCCCCCCCATGTACTTCTCAAAGCCTAAAGCTGAGAGCTCCCCTTCCTCAGTAGAAGAGTTGTTTTGAGTCAGAAGAAAAAGAGGTCTGAGGTTTTTTGTCCCTATTCCCCTGCCCCGCTCCAGCTTCTCTCTTTTTGGGGCATTGCTGCTCAGCTGTTGTCAGGGGTGGTCTTTTGCAGCTTGCTTGATGCAGAGCTTGAGCCCTCTGGCTAGGTCGCCCTCAGGGTGGTCCCCCTACCCAGGGCTCATTGCTGGAACTCCTTGATTCAAACCAGGAAAGAGCTTGATATAAGCCCTGCCTCTCTCCCCAGGGAACTGGGGACCCATTTTAGGACTTTGTGGGGCCCTGAGATGCCTTAGAGATATGGTCTTCCTAATCCTGTTCTGCCCTAGGACTAACCTCTGGAGCTGGATGAAGTTCTCTATTTGTGGAGTCTCTCCCCAATCTGCTTTGGGATCTCCTGATCAGGCTTTTCTGTGTTGGAGTCACAACTTCTTGGGGGCAATGGGACACTGAACATGCCTGTCCAACTCAGAGACCCATGCCCTAGCAGTGCAATGGTTGGCAGACTGAGCAGGGCACGCATTCAGCCTCTGAAGAGCCTGTAAAAGCAGCCCCACAGACAGAACACTGCTTGGATTTAGCTCGGTATTTGTGAAGTTGCTCTGCCATGCCTGCAGGGGTCAGTGGAGTCTCACAGGGAGGAGCTGCAGCATTGGCTCCAGGTAGCTGAGACCACCCCACTGCTCTTTACCAGATCCAGGAGAGGAGGAATAAAGGAGAGCTGCTTGCTACTGCCCCAAAACACACAAAAATAAAGGGCTGGCAAAGATGAGTCAGGAGCAAAGTGAACCGTGCTTGACGGTTGCCGTAGAGACATACGATCTGGGAGCAAGCTGAACAAGAGGGTGAGGCTATGCAACAGCTTTCAATTGCCTCTAAAACTGCAGACAGGAGGGGAACAGACCACATGGATCAGAATTGTGGAAAACGCTGAGCTGCAGCGTTTTAAGTCTATTCTTTGAGGGAAAAAACCAAACCCACCCCCAATACCCCCTATCCCAGCTAGAGTTTTCACCCCCAAAAGGGAGAAGAGACTGCATGAAGTGCACCGTTGATTTTACATGGAAGGCACCCAAACTAAGGTGACAGGCGTCAGTGTAAAATCCTAAAACAAACAGAAATGCTCAATCAATCCAGAAAAAAAAAAACTAAAAAAAAAAAAAGAAAGAGGCTCTCTGTTCTTTAACTCCACTTCTCCAAAAGGCGGTTTTTGAAGTGACACACAAGATCGAAGACCAATCCACTGCACAGTTTAGGAACTGTGCAGGGAGGCGCAGCAGCTTCTGGATTAGTCATTTAAACCAAACCCTTAACTCTGCTTTAGCTATGTGTTTAACAGTGTATTTCTAGAATTTACAGCTCAGAGATGTGAGGGCCTATTTACTTATGCAGCTTTAAATAGGACTCACTTAATATTCACAGGTAAACTCTGATTAGTAGATTACGGTCAGATGGAATCATTAAAATGGATTTAGTCTGACTTCCTGCATAACAGGCCATCCAGTAGTTCATGCAGTCCAGCCCAACAACATGTGGTGGAACTAGAGAATACATCTTTTAGAAATATCCAGTCTTGATGACTGAATAATGGAGAATCCACCGTATCCCTTGGTAAAATGTTCCAATAGACCAACTACCCTTGCTGTTAGAAACGTGCATCTTATTTCCAGAATCTATTTCCTCCCAAGAATTGGCCTCACACCAATTTTCTTTCTAGATATAAAAGTGTCGTTCAGGTTTGGAATGTGACACTTCCTTATATTTAACACAGCTTTATAGAATACACCTATGTTATGGTTTTATTGGTTACGCATAGTTATCTATACAGAATCTAGGAGAGAACCCCCAGTCTGAAAAAGAAAATCCATTATTTGAAATCTGCTTATAAATTCAGATGTCTGTAGTGAGACATCTTAAGTTTCATCTTTAGCTTTGCAATCAGAAATATTAACTGTTTCCAGCAGGAAATCTGGAAAGTGACTTTCAGGTTGTCAAACACACTTTTTTAAACAAAACTGTAAGCAAGAAAAATTTCAGCACTTATTTTAATACATATGAGAATCGTTTGGAATGTCCATTTAATTTATCTTTTATTGAAATTGCTGAATAGTTTATATTACACTAAATTTGATTCAAAATGGAAACTGTTTTATAAAATGAAGAAACCAGTGTTGAAACCAAATAAGCCAACCAAAAAGGTACAAGAAAGAGTCTCAAAAATTCTGACCAACAAGTACCTGTACACGTATATGAAACTGTATTATCGCCCATAGATAATTCAGAAAACATTGAGAGGAGCAGACTGCTACAGGAAGATTGATATCACCTCCATTAAGTTCTGGCAACATTGTAATTCAGTGACCATTGGCCTCAGGATATAAGATGACCTGGATCTGAGATACTACTGAAAGACGTGGGCCCACCATATTTTATGCAATTAGTACCAAAAACAATACCTGTTTTGCAAATTAAGGCTTCTCTAGGTCTTGGGCTTTTTAAGATGACAGAAATGACAGGATTGTGAATATGGCATTCTAGGAATTCTGCACCCACGACCTTGAACAATCCAGTTATGTCTGAGCATGCACAAATTCTAGTCCCGTCTGCACTCAAGGGAAAGCTTTGGGTGCTTGTCAGCTGTTTAAGCAAATACTGATGAAATATGTCATGTGACCAGTACCAAAAATATCATGCAAAGAACAACCACCATTTCAGACTAAAGCTAACAAAGTTGTACCTTTCAGTAAATGGTTTTAAATCAATTAAATGTTTAAATTAGAATGGAGTATTCAAATTTACAGGATAAATTAGACCAGTTCCAACATTTACATCAAACCCATCCCAAACAAAAAGTTACACTTCTTTTCCTTCTCATATGATGTGTGAATCTATAGAATAATACCCTGCCGGCAGGAAGAACATGTTGCTATTATTCAGCAAACCTGAGTAGTGAGAGTCAATAAATACAAGGAGAGAGTTAAAATGCTAGTAGTCAAATATCTTGAATCTCAAGTGACAGGGGCACAATTCAGATTTAATCCTGTCCTTTGAAATGATTTTGTAACATGTCGTGCCTGTGCTGAAGGTTTAAAAAGAGAAAATCCTGGCTAGAGACAGAGGGGGGGGGGGGGGGAGAGAGAGAGAGAGAGAGAGAGAGAGAGAGA